CCTACACCATCAACTGCTCCTTTACCGTAAGAGGTAGCAAAAAAATTCCACTCTATAGATTGAAAATGATATTTCACAGAGCAATGTTGTATGAATTTGGCCATGTAACGATTTTTGAATTGAGTGCAAGGGCCATCGCTCCATAATATAACTTTTTTTATATAATCAATGCAATAGAGGTCAAATATTTCACTTAAGTAAGTAGTAGTGGAGCGCTTTGTTTTATCATTATCATCGGATATTATTACAACTGATTTTGGCTCTAATTGGTAACGATAGATAACAACTGTAAACAAAGTAATACTAGACTGCGACCAATAAGCAGCTTGAACAGCATCCTGATAACCACATACATAGTTTTGTGAATAATCAAAGTGTATCAAAATTTGGTCTGGTTTGAGATTTTCCTTTTGACTACGGTATTGCTCAGACTGGTGCTTTTTAGTGGTAAATAGTCGCAAAAGTGTTTATAGACGTCTGTAATGTTTTTTTTATGTTCACTGAGTACACAGTGATGATCATCTTTTATCCACCAACTATAGGTGATGAATGTATTCATGTCTTCGTTTTCTGGCAAAAGAACTTTAAATAATTTACAATCACTACATAACGAACATTTCATAATCTAACATTGGGACGTAGGTGGATTACACAATACATATTTTTCTAACCATTTATTACAATACAATGGAAAACTTGAACTTGCGTGATTTCTTCAGTAGTGCATAAGCCATATTCAGCACCTAACTGCTCTACAATAGTTCGTCTTTTATTTGGAGACTTTAAAAGAGCCCGTTTTGTTCTAAAAACTTTATTTAATATTAGAAAACCCAAATTATGCGAAAGCAATAACATTAAAAAATATAGTTAAATATAATTAAATACTTGTTTAATGCTTTTGTCATTGAAGATTTGCAGTTATAAGAATTATCAGGTGTAACATTCAAACTAGTGTTAGCAGTAAATTCAAGTTTTTTTTTTTATTCTTAACCTTTGGTTACGAACTTTCGCTTGATTTTTTTGCTTGTTTTCTTTTCTTGGTGTTAATAACTGTCTCCTTTGATAACTTCTCTTTCTTTCTTATTCCAACAGCACTTGTCTGTTTCTTGCTCTATAAGCTTTTGATCTTTCAGGATTTGATTTAGGCAATTTAAAAATGTTGTTAAATGCGACAGCTTCTGTTTGAGATTTTCGTTCTGTTATGTTAAAAAAAAAAAACGCGAATTTTATAAATAAAAACCCCACGAAATCTAATGAACAAAAAAGTTGCAATGCAAACTAGAAACAACGTTTAAACTAAAAAAAGTTTTCTTCATGTTAAAAGTTTTTATTTCTTTACAAATATTAATTTATTTACATCAATTATTTAAAATAAGTGATGTATATTTTAAAAAAGAAATAGGAAAAACTTTAACAAGCTTATCAATATATTGAGTAAACAAACAGAAAATCAAACCAAATTGATTTGTAACTTGGTTTCAATAATAAAATCTCGGTTTTCACTTGGTTTCAATAATAAAATCTCTTTCAATAATAAAATCTCGCTTAAACTTTTTATTCAAACGTCAAGAAGCCGTTATGGAAAAACAAGCATATCGTGATGGTCGTAACATACTTCGTTTACATCTTAATACAATCATATGAAGCTCTTTTTTAAAAAAAAATGATACGATGATAAAACTTATATCAGCATATTTACTTTTACTATATTTTTAGTTTTATAAAGTCTAATACGATGCCTAGAAAAAACTTTTCAACTTTTTTTCGGGACGGTCATAACGCATTAATTTGATAAATATATTCTTATTCTATACATAGTTGGAGTGCGTTTTTTTAAAAAATGATTTACAGAATGTTTATTTATGTCTTAAGTCAAACTTAAAAGTAATAGTTACTTAAAAATGCAGCATTGAAACCTTTTTTAACGCTTCACAATAGGACTATATAAAAACGTCAAAAAACATTTATATAACCCTTACAACTTCAAAGCCATGCTATGGTATGATAAAATAACTTTTTAAATAACTTTTTTGCTTAAAAGTATTTTTAAATATTTAAAAAAAGAGTTTATTGAGGTTATGTGTCTTTCTAACTTTTTTTTTTTTTCCTCTTTCTCGCGGAATTGCCTATATATATAAATATATTAGGACCCTATATATTTGAACCCAAATATCTTTACAACTTAACGTGATGGTGAAAAATGAGTTGAATATTTGAAATCAAAATGAGAAATGCTATTCAAAATTAATAAAAAAAAAAAAAAAATTTTTTTTTGTTGACCCTAAAAAAAATATTTGTTGACCTGTGTAGTCCATTTTTTTCAAGGTTATTTAAGGACGTTCAAGGAGTTTAAAATTTGTTAGATATTAAACAGATAAAGATTATTGTAAATTTTTTAATGATATTTAAGGACATTTAAGGAGGCTTTTAATTTTAAAGGATATTTAAGGTTTTCAAGGCGAAGTGGGTTTATATATATATATATATATATATATATATA